AGCCAAGAAGAGCCACACTGTGATGTGGAGACAACAGGTCTGGATAAAGGCAGCAGCCTTTGTCTTGAGAGCAGGTCTGGGCAAAGCAGCAAGGGCCACACTGCAAGTCTCAGCAGTGGGGCATACAAATGCCAATGGGACCAGGCCAGCATTATAAGAATGATTGTGGCCCTCTCCTGCTTGACTTTCCCCAGAATCTTGATGAGTGGGATTGGGAGAAGTGAGTAGATCAGGGCACCCAACCATGGGATGAGGAAGTCATCTGCCATGGACCCTCGTCCACTCAGTCTGGAGCAGAAGCTGCAACACTGTACTCCACTGTGGCAAAGAGGTCACCTGGGAAGTGCCCCAGGAAAACATGGCCACGATCTGACAGAACCCACTTGTGGTGAGAGGAAAACTGATCACCTAGGAGACCTCCTGCATACAGGAGATGGTGGGCCTCCACACTAACTAACAGTAAATTGATTAACAGTAACTATTTACAGGGAAAACAAAGTTCAACTAGGGAAATGTGCTACAGCTAACGCTGGCCACAAGAAGGAACTGAGGGTAGAGGGGGCCAGAGGTACCCTACACAGTGCAGCATGTGCGCGCCACTCCAAGGGTGCCTGAGCCAGCTCACAATACAGGTAGAGCTAAGGGAAAATCTTCCAGCATCAGTGCATGTGGTGAGCACACACCTATATTGTATGGACATAAGCAATCACTCGAAGAACCAGTGATTCCCCCCCTCCACACTCTTCCAAGCCTCTGTGGTGCTGGGCCCCATGGCTCACCGAAGGTCTCCGCACTCTTGGTCCAGGCGTTAAGATCCCACTGAAACTTCATTTCCCCTTGGGGCTCCACAGGGTCCACAATCATTTTGAGGGCACGGTGCAGCTGGAAGTAGATCTGAATTGTGGGGAAGGGGAGGGGAACAGATGGTCACACCAAGAATAAGTCTCCCGTCATCTGAAGAAGTGGGCTATGCCCACGAAAGCTCACGATACCCTCTACGTGTTTTCTTAGTCTTTGAAGTGCTACCAGACTATTTGTTTAAGTTTTTACCCAGAATAATCACACCTAAAACCCAGGAAGCTGGGTCACCTATCCTGCCCTCTCCTCCCATGTAACCCCACGGACTCTGGATCTCTGTGCAGGGTCTAGGACAGGGTGGGCAAAAGGGCCTTTGTGGGCAGGATTCGGCCTGCCAAGCAAGCTGATCCAGCCCATGGAGGCCCTGCCACTCCCCCTGCTCCCAGGCCAATCAGGGCTTGGAGACAGGGGGAGTACATTAAGTCTCCTCCCACCCTGCAAGGTACTCAGCACTAAGTCAACCCTCAGCTGCTGCTCAGCTGGTAGTTGACTAAGAGTGGCACTCCCTTGCACGGCAAGGGCACAGAGCAAGGCACTTCACGTGCTCCCCCCTCACTGCCAGAGGCATGGGTACCTAGAGGGAACCACCAACTGTTAAGAGCTGGCAGTTCTCTCTGGGAGGCAAAGACTTGCATGCTCCCCGACCTTCAGAACAATCTGGGTCTGTGGATGGGGAAGTACAGAAGTGTCCAGGCTCTGCCCCTTCTGCAGTGGCCTGGGGCCACTTCAAAAATTTCTGAAGTGACTCCTGGTCAAAAGTTATTGCCCTGATCTAAGAGATCCCACCTCACAAGGATAGAGGGGCCTATGCTGGTCCCAGCCCCCCGTAATCGTCACATGATGAGATCACCAACAAGATGACACTCCAACAGATGCAATGCTATGGAAACAGAAATTTCAGAGACTACATTGTCCAATTAGCTGGGATCAGTTGCTGGCCAGTCTTGTAAACATACACACAAGAGCCATGAGGGCAAATAGGGATGCTTCCTCATAGCACTGCTTGGTCTGACCTGGCTCAAAACTTAGGCTGTGTCTACATCAGGGATACAAATGCCCCCTCCCCGTGGCTTGCAGACTGCTCCAGCCCCACTGGAAGCCCCCAGCAGAGCTGGAGCAGTCCTCTGTCCAGGATCCCACTTAGTTGGTTAACTAGTTAAATGATTACACAGGTTAATTGATTAAACAGGATAGACAACATTTTTTGGTTTTACACAGTAAATACATGGACAGTGTACACATACCAATCATCAAAACTCTGCTCTGAGCTGGGAAATGGGTAACCCACTCAGTCCAAGAACTGACAAAAGACTGACAGTCTAGGATGCAGTTAAACAGAAGCCCGCAAGGAAGGGAACAGCTCCTCTCCCCCCCCCCCCCCCAACACCCCGCAGCAGCTGGCATCACCAGGGCCACTGCCCCAGGGCTGAAGTGGAAAATGTTGCAGAATTCTCTGGAAGTCACAGAATCTAACTTCCATTACAAAAAAGAGTAGATCATACCATGAACATCAATGAGCTTTTAAACAACTCAACTCCCACTCCTGCAGCTATGCAAAATCAGAGCCTTCGTAAGAAGAGGTTACTTACCTCATAACTGTTGTTCTTCGAGATGTGTTGCTTATGTCCATTCTGATTAGGTGTACGCACGCCGCGTGCACGGATTCCAGAGCTTTTTTCCCTTAGCAGTATTCATAGGGCCAGCAGGGAGCCCCCCTCAGTTCCTTCCTGCCAGCTCCTTCCAACAAGGGGAGGTGGGTGGGATGTAGAATGGACATGAGCAACACATCCTGAAGAACAACAGTTATGAGGTAAGTAACCTCTTCGAGTGCTTGCTCATATCCATTCTGATTAGGTGAATCCCTAGCCGTTCCTTTGGAGGTGGGGTCGGAAGGTGGACTCCTGACTATATCTCTGCAGACCTCAGTACCGCCGCACCTACTGATGCATCTTCCCTAGCCAGCTGAGTGATCGCATAGTGCTCTGCAAAAGTGTGCACCGATGACCACGTGGCTGCCCTACAGATTTCCATTATTGGCATATACTCCAGGAATGCTGCCGAGGCCACCTGTGCCCTCGTGGAATAAGCAGTTATAGGTGGCAGAGGTTTACCAGCGCCATCATAAGCACTCCCAGATACAAGATGTGATCCACAAAGAGATACCCATCTCCGTGCAGTGTAACCCCTTCATTCTTGCTACTATTGAAATCAACTGTGGTAACTTTCTGAATTCTCGTGTCCTATCTATTTAGAACATCAATGCTCTCCTAACATCCAAACAGTGCAGTGCCTGTTCCTTGGGTGTGGAGTGCAGTTTGGGATAAAACACGGTAGGTAAATGTCTTGGGAGAGATGAAAATGCGAGACCAGCTTGGGGAGGAACCCCGGGTGAGGCTGCATCCTCAGCTTATCTTTAAAGAAGACAGTGTACTGGGGCTCTGACATGAATGCTCTGAGTTCAGACACCCTCCTAGCTGAGGTAATGACCACCAGAAAAGCCACCTTGTAGGGCAAGTGCTTTAGTGAGCATGAAGCTAGTGGCTCAAAAGGGAGCTTCATAGAGCTGGTCAGGACCAGATTAAGGTCCCAGGGTCAGAGAACCCCGACCCCTCAAATGGTAGGTCTTGTATAGTAGTTTGCACCTCCAATGGGAAGCCGGACACCTGTAGCCACACGCTACACCTCATGACTACCGCTGTGGCCATGGTTCAAGCCGCAGAGTCCGCTTTGTCTAGGACCGCTTGCAGGGTTGTGCGCGCCACCGCTTTTCCTTCCTCCACGATCGTGACGGGATTCGTGACGGGACTCAAGGGGAAGGCACTCCCCAAATTTTCTGCACTGATGCCAAGGTATTAAAGCCATAGCGCCTCAGCATCACCTGCTAGTCCGTAATATGGAGCTGCAGGCCTCCCATGGCATAGGTTTTTCTACCCAGGAGGTCCAGCTTTTTAGGGTCCTTGGCCTTTGGTGTTGGTCCCAGAGGTCCCTGATGCTCTTTTTGCTCTGCCACCTGCACCATTATAGACCCCGAGACGGGCTGGGTTTAAAAAGGTGTTTGTGCCCTGCTTGGGGCACATAGTAACGTCTCTCCATCCCCCTTTTGTGTTGGTGGGATCGACGCCAGCATTTGCCACAGGGTCTTTGACAATCTATCCACCATCTTATTTAGCGGTAGTGCCACTCGACCCGGACCTGACGCCGACAGAATATCTACCATGGGGTCCAGATCCTCTTGGACCTCTTCTACCTGCACTGCCAGGTTGGAAGCCAACCTCCTTAAGAGGTCCTGGTGAGCCCTGGCATCCATGGAAGGGAGCTGGGGTGCCAGATCCGCCAGCACCTCATCTGTTGAGGACGACTCTCTCAGTGGCACATGTTCTTCTTCACCCACAGGTGCCCCTGTATCCTCAATGGGCAATGGATCTGCCTGCACCGAGCCTGCTGATGGGACTGCGGCACCTTGACCCTGGCCAACCACCAGCGGCCTAACCGATGTCATTGCTTCTGGTGATGGGGCTTATAAAGGGGTGGCGGAAGGAGCACTGCTCCTCTGAGATGACCACGCAACTGACCCCAACGGGAGGGGCCCCCTGAGCCTGGTGGCAGGCTCCCACTGTGCCTGCCACTGTTGGTCAGCCAACTCCCTGTGCCCAGATCTAAGGCTTGATCATGATCGGTGCAGAGATCGTGATCTATAAGACGATCTTGCAGACCTCACTGATTCCGCTTTGGACTCTGAAGAATAGTCTGGTGCTGACCAAGGTGGGGCCATCAAAATTTGCTCTCTGGTGTGCAGCCATGGCTGATGGCTTGCCCGTGTCCTGAGCACAGTGCCGGGGGAGGCATCTGTTGGGTCTGCCTAGAGTCCAACTGCATCTGGTATGCCAGGAGATACCCCTGCGGTACCATGGCTGTCTGCGGTACCGAAGGGTGCTGCACCGCCGGTGTCATCTGGAACTGACTGAGTGCTGGAAGAGGCATCAATGCCGGTGCACCGTAAGGCGCCGATTGCATCGGTGCTGGCATGGCCAGTAGATGGCTCAGTACGGAGGCCAGCACCATCTGAGGTCTTAGTAGCGGTGCTGCCTCCAAGAGTGCTACCCCCAGTGCTGCTGGAGTTGTCCCTGGCAGCCCCAGCATCAGTGCCGCTGAAGGCATGAGGCTGGGAACCGGTGCCGGTGTCTGCGTTGGTGCCTGCCCTGATGCTGGTGCTTGAAACAGCTGCTGGGCTGGAGTCTGTATTGTCAGCTGCGGGTCCCATGACCCCAATGGCGGTGCCAGTAGGAGGGTACCCGTGCCCTGGGAAGGTGCGGCCTGTGCGTGCGGCACTGGGACCTCCCCCTTTGTTGAAGTCAGTTCGATGTGATCCCTTGCTGCATTGACCGTTTCTGGGGTAGAGGGACACTGAATATCTCCCATCCCAGTTTCCTGCCCCGGGCCTTGTTCGGGCTGCGCCTCCTCCTAGGTGCCTTGGAAAGTCAAATGCCCGTCCTTAGGGCGCACTTTGTGACCATGCCTCTCTGTCGACCGGCCCCTCGAGCCTTTGGAGCTCCTCGGTGCCAGCAACTGCGATCTGTGCCTGGGCGCCTTCGAGATGGCTGCTTGGTGACGCCGATGTAGCTGACTGTGCGCTGTGGACCGAGTGGGGACGCTCCTCGCTCTGAGGCTGCAGCACTGACTCCAACGGGAGTTTTAAATGAGAGTCCCTTTCTCTCTTGGTCCCGGGCTTAAACCCTTTACAGATAGAGCAGCTCTCCGCTCGATGGGCTTCTCTGAGGCAAACAGAAAGAGTGCGGGTCGCCACAGGGCATAGGCTTCGAGCAGGAACCACACGGCTTAAAGCCCTGGAGCCCTGGCATCCCCTCCCCGGATGGGGAGTATTTAACAACTAAGTTTAACTACAGTACAACAACAGATAAGATTACAAACTGCTATGGGGCAGGCTGATAGCCCTAACACACGCTCCAGCTACCATTGCAGGCGGTAAGAAGGAACTGAGGGGGTGGAGGGGCCAGCAGGGGTATATATGCACCGGTATACCGGCGCCACTCCAGGGGACTCTCTGCTGGCCCTATGGATACTACTAAGGGAAAAAAGCTCCAGAATCCGTGCACGCGGCACATGTACACCTGATCAGAAAGGACATGAGCAAGCACTCAAAGAACGGCCACACACTGTCAGAGCAATAGTCCATCTAGCCCAGTACCTTGTCTTCCCACAATGGCTAGTGCCAGGTGCTTCAGAACAAACAAAACAGGCAATTGAGTGATCCATCCATTGCCATCCAGTCCCAGCAGAAGCTAGGGACAACACAGAGCATGGGGATGCATTCCTGGCCATCTTGGCTAATAGTCATTGATGGACCTATTCCAGGAACTTAACTACACCCAGAGGAAAAGTATCATTGTGTACTGATCATGTGCTTAGGGAATCTCAAGGTTGAAGACTGCAGCTGTATTAAAAGACTGGCTGAGTTATACGTGGGGGAGCCTATTCTCAGCAAAAGCTGTTATGCAGTGTTCCCTGTGAGCTTATGTGGTCAGAGATTCAAATGAAATCTCTGCAAAGTGCTCACAACTAAGTTTTTTGTCTCGGTGCACATAAACGGGAAGATTTAGAGGGAACATTGCTATTACGAACTTTCAACCTCCCAAAAAAACACTTTGCTGGAGTTTGAAGGACTGTTCACCAGTGAACCCTTCCAAGAGTTGGGATGATCACTGCTAAAACTATCAGCACATATGCAGGTTCTTGTATTAGAATAACAGAATCAGAGCTGGAAGAGACCTCAGGAGATCATCAAGTCCAGCCCCTTGCCCAAGGCAGGACCAAACCCAACTAAATCAACCCAACCAGGGCTTTGTCAAGCCAAGACTTAAAAACCTCTAGGGATGGAGATTCAATGTTTTCTACAGTTTTCATCTTAGGAGCAAATGTGCTTCTTCAGAACTGAGTGGACACAAGAGACAACCATGCTGAGGATAAAGTGCAGATGTAACTTGCCTGGGGGGATTCACAGCATAGGCAGGAGGGAGAGACATGGGTCTCTGCTCAGAAGAGCAGACACGTGGGGAGCCTGGAGCAGGTTGTCATTGCTGGACCACAGAGGAGAAACACAGGTGCAGTTGCCCTGGGCTGTGATACGCCATATACACCTGCAAGAACTGACCACAGTACCAGCCTCATCCCTTTCAGAAAGGGAAGCGGAGAGAAGACCCCCACTGGAACCAGGCTTGGAGAGCAGCCAGCAACAAAGGTTAGCCAGCATTAGCGGGGGCTCCACTGTGCTGTGCTTCCCCCTCCCACAACATATCCCTTTCAGTCACTCACCAGTTTCTTGGAAAGCAGCAGGGCAGTATTGTTGTCACTCTCTAGGGCCCAGGAAGCAAAACGCAGGATGTGCTCCTGATGGCGCTGCAGCTTGGTCATGGCCCAGTGTTGACGCTCCAGCTTCTCCTGCTGCCCCTCAGTCACTTTCTGCAACACAGACGTCTCAGCTGGATGCACTCTCAGCATGGGATGGAGCAGGAAGGCAAGAGCTCCAAGGAGGCCTACCTCTGAGGAGTGGGACCCTCTGGAAGAACCTTTCTAGTGCACCAGCCCCCAAAGGGCTATTTAAGGGCTAAAATGTGGCATAGATCATGTGGAGGCAAGATAATGGGGGGCCACAGAAGGGGAGCCAAAGGATGGCCCCTCCTTACTGCCCTGGGAATAGGTAACGGGCAGGTTTCAGTGCTAACATCCTTGTGTTTCAGAGGAACTCCTCTTATTCAAAACCCTACCAGGGCAGCAAAAGGGTCTGATCCACAGGTGAGAGGGTCTGATCCTGGGAGGGCTCCTAGGAGATACACTCACCTGTGCATCACTGACCAGGACTTTGCCCCTCTTGTTAAGCTCCTTCATGATCTGCAGGATAGCCATCTTCACATCCACTTGCACCCGCTTCTGCACGTCTGTCACCTGACGAATCCTGAGTAGCCAGCCAGAGCCATATGGTGAGTGTCCCATACACCCACTGCTTTCCCCTGTGCTTTCTTCATGTCAGCCAGATAAGGTATCCATCCAGCTAAGGGGTTCTGGAATAGCACAAGCTTCCATATCCCATCCCTTAAACTGGATAGGGATGGACGTGCTCCCTGCCTTAGCAATAACTACACAAAGTGCTCCTCACAAGGAGTTTGGGCCCCCAACTGCTTTCTGGAAGGGGGCACCTTTCTGATTACCCCAACTGCTTCTTTCCCATTCTGACCATGCCTGCCAGTTAGGACCCCTTCTTTGGCTAATGGGGAATACAAGAAGCTAAAAGGAATCTGTTTGGCAATGCCAAGGTTTCTAACACTAACCACGTAGCATCAAGAATGACCAGAAGAGGCAGTCTTGCCCTGCCCCTTCATGCCCTTGGCAGTGCATGAGGAGAGATGGACTGCAGCCAAACAGTGCTTGCAGAGATACTCTGGCCCTAAGCACATGCATATTCCACAGCAGAGTGCACACAGGGTCCAGCACTAGAAGAAATCTCTTAATCCCCTCCCTCTCGCATGACTAGAAAGGACTTCCCTTCCCTGTGCATCTTTGGGGCTCAGCAACTTGGGCAGGGTCCCCCCCTCCCTGTGGTCAGGACACTCTGCAAGGCTACATACGAGGTGCGCACTTCCTTGGTGGATTTCTGCAGGTTGGCATGCTTGTCCCCGAGGCGCTTCACTAGAGCGGCCAACATCTTGCGCTGGTTCCTGACAGCATCCTCCAAGAACTGGTACCTGTAGGGATGGGAATGAACATGCTAGGAGTTGGCCAACCAGGGAACATTTGCAGGGGCTGTGACCTATGGAGCCCTCAAGAGCAACTGGCCAGGGATTACAACCATCTCCTATTCTGGTATGTACATTTTGGCTCACGTAAGTACATTATAGGAGGACTCAAAAGTCAGGGCCGCATTGGTTATTAATGTTGCAAAATGTGCACTCTTTTGGCCAGCCAAGTAAATTAAGCACTGTAAGCTAACAAAGGTATGCCTACATTAGGCAGCCAAAAGGGAAGAATACAGAAGGGGGGAGAGAACCTTTATCTTGAGTTAAACATCAAAGGTTTGCATAACTGCATGAGGAACAAAGGCAACCCACCATCTTCCGACAACCAGGAAGCAAGCAGGCACTCTGATGAAGAAAACAGGTGCTCCAGACAGCCTCTACTGCAGGGGTGGGCAATAATTTTTCCCTGGGGCCACTTCAAAATTTTTTGAAGAAGCCTCAACCACCCTAGAAGGGGCAGGGCTACCCCACTTCCAGACCATGATTGGTTTGGGGGTGGGGGAGCCCCTTTGCCCACCCCTTCCAACTAAGCACCCATGCCTGGAAGAGGCTAGGCATGCTTCCTCCCCCAGGGCAATCAGGGTCTGGGGGTGGGGGAGCGCAGGAAAGCTCCTCCTGCCCTGAGGGGAGCATGTGGCACTTTGAAGTGCAGCAGGCTCCTCGCAGGGCCAGGGCAGGGCAGGGCGAAGGTAGCTTCACAGCTCCCACACCCCCAGGCCCTGATAGGCCTGGGGAGCACCCGAAGCCTCCTCCACTCCCTCCCTGGACAGGAATATGTGGTGCTTTGAAGCACTGTGTGCTGCTCGCAGGGCCAGGGCAGGGTGAAGGAAGCTTCATGCAGCTACCGCGCCCCAGGCCCTGATAGGCCTGGGGGTGGGAGAATGCCCGAAGACTCCTTCCTTCCCTTCTACCCCCGCCCTGCAAGCAGCACACAGGGTTTCAAAGCACCACGTACTCCTGGCAGGGCAGGAGGCTTTAGGCACACCCCCGCCCCCAGGCCCTAATTAGCCTGGGGTCAGGTGAGCAGCAGGGCCTCCATAGGCCAGATCCAGCCACTTGGCAGGCCTGATCCAGCCCACGGAGGCCCTTTTACCCACCCCATCTCTATTGAAACAATGCAGTTTGATGTCACAAAGGTGTGCTGAACTTTAGACAGCATGTTAGCCTCCTAAGCAAAGTCTCTCGAAAACATGTTAGGATTTTGTTGGGTGTGTAATCTTTTGCTTCCATTTCCTCACTCACTGTTGGCCTTACTGATAAGATTGTGTTTTCAATAAAAACCCCTCAGGGCTGCAGGACTACAAAAGGTGCAGATTCTGAGTGGACTGTCACAAACTAGACTATCCCTATAACAGAAAATGCAGGCTACCATGGCCCAGAGGAGATTGCTTGGGTGGCTGATAGGCAAGGCTGCTGGTAATGGAAATGAAGGCAAAGTGTAAAATGACTAAGTCTAGGCTACCCTGAGAACTAACACAGGGGCCAAAACACCCCCAAGAGGAGCTGGTCTAGCTGCCTCAAGCCCAACAGCAGCCAAGAAACATGACAAAGGAGAGCCATGCCATGCAGTAGAGAGGACGCACAGGCTAGCTGAAAGGTTTGCTGTGGCCTTACCACCTGGAAGAAAACATGGCACAGGCTGTCAGAGGGTTTCCATGTCTCCAGCATAGCAGTATTGGAGGCAGAGCCTGGCTCAGGCCAGCCACATAACTAGGAGCAGAGGTAGAGGGCAGTGCAGCCCTGCCCCAGACTGGGCAGGGGTGGAGTATCAAAGAGCATCCTAGTAGCCTATGGTAGAGTACAGCCAGCAAGTGTGCATGCTTACTGGTGATCCTTGTGGGCATTGAGCTGGCAGTCCCGGCAGGTCAGTGTGTCACAGGTATCGCAAAACAGCACCAAGGGTTCATGCTTGTGCACAGAGCAGTAGACAGTGCGCTCACCCTCCTTTGTCTTTGCTGGACCTAGAACAGAGTACAAGTGTTACCCTCCTCTTCTCACCAAGGTTCCATGAGGCACCCCAATTACATCAGCCAGCCAGAAGCCTAGAGTGGCCTGCAGGGCACCAGCATAGCTGCTGGGGAGGGAGCGACAGGGCTGGGACTGAAGGGTAATGGCAAAGCTGTTTGCTGGGGTTGGCCCAGGGAGACTGCACATCTGGATTAAGGGGCACTGGAAGAGCTGAAAAGGAAGCCTACTCAGCTGTCTGGCACAACATGCCCAACTACAGCCTATGTCCAGGTGTCTCCCTTGGCCACAGCACTGGAAGCCCAGTTGAGGGAATCTGGGATATGGGCAGCAGAGCTCACGCTACCAGGGAATGGATATTGCATGGGACCTGGTTAAAGCCCTCTCCCTTTGTCAGTGGCAGAATGGGGACAAGAGGCCCAGTTTTCTGCCCCTGGAACCATGTCCACATGAGGAAGTTGCAGGCTACCCACAGGAGAGTAGGGATGTTAAATATCAGTTAACTTGAATAGTTGAGTAACCTCATGAATTTGTATCAGTTAGTCAACTATTCCATAGTACCCAGTGGTGGGGCCAGCAGCCACTGTATCAGAAGCAGCAGCACAGGGTGCCAACTGGGAGCTGGTCCACAAGGGGAGCCAGTTTAAAAGCTGTCTCATTGTAGACCAGCTGCCTGTCACCCACTGCTGCGGCCTCTGATAAAGAGGCAGCGGAGTGGGATGGCAGCAGCCCCTAAGAGGGGTTCTGATCTCCTGGACCCAGTGCATGCCAGAACTAAGCCGGGCTGCGTACCCACCTGGCTCCTAATACACTTTAAATGCAGAGCTGCCACAGGGATAGGTTCTGGACCTGACATAAGCCTGAACTGAGCCAGGCTGCTGGCCAGCCTGCTAAAAAGTTAACTGGCAAGGGCTGGGGGAGGGAAAGGTGTGTAGTCTATAGCAGTGATTCTCAAACTTTTTGGGCTCCAGAGCCCTTTACATACAGGTATGCAGAGTCCCAGCGGTCCACTGATTGTGTGTGTTGTATCTATCGATGTTTCCAGTTTGTCAACCTCGTGGGGCCCCTGGAGATGTCTTGCGGAGCTCCGGGGCTCCGTGGAGCACAGTTTGAGAAACACTGGTCTATAGTATTAACCTATAAGCTTTTGCTTATCGGTTAACTGGTTAATCGACTACACTAGTACATCCCTATAGGACAGAACTCCAACTAATTCAGTTAAGCAGTACACCCCCATATGGATGCTCTCATTCAGCTGACTGCACCACCAGAGGACAGATTGAGCTGAACAGAACATAGCAAACAATTTTGAACTGATTTAGTAAAATCAGTTTCAAACGGATTTAAAGCAAATCTCTCATGCATATGACACCAGAGCGTAGCACTCTGGGTGGGCAAGAAGTAGTGTCATGGAGTACAGGTTGAACCTCCCTGGTCTGGCACCCTCAGGACCAGTGTGGTCCTGAACAAGGGAATTTGCTGGACCAGGGGAGGTCAGGTGTCTGGGCTCTCCTGGGGCTCTCCTCCTGGCTGCTGCACTGGGAGAACTGGGAGGCCTGACCTCCAACCCACCAGCCTGGCTCTGCTGCTCCCAGCCCACTCCCAGGACTCTGCTCCATAAACTCTGTCCCCATCTTCTCCTGGAGTTCCCTGGCCCCACACAGCAGCTCTCTACCTGCAGGTCACTGTCTCTGCAGGCTGCCAGCAGCAAGACAGGCTCTGCTCCCAGCCACTCAACCCCTGCAGCAGGCTCTCTGGTCTAACAGCTTTTATGGTCCTGCAGGACCACAGATGCTACTGGACCAGGGAGGTTCAACCTGTATAACCAACTTCCACCTCCCACCTCTCTGTAAGGGGCATGCAGTACCAGGCTAACTCCAAACTTCCCTCCCAGGAATGGGGCACTGACCTGTGGCTCTGACAGTATGGTCCTTTGTGTACTTCACCCTCTGGTGGGCCTCTACACAGGTCTCACACAGTGGCTCTGAGCACTCCACACAATAGCTAGTAGCTGGGGCATTGTCATCACAACTGGTGCAGCACTGAGAGATAGAGGAAAGGTTAGTGCCAGGAACACACCTGCCCCACAACCTCTCCCCCCCTCCCCCCCCAGTGCTTCAAATGGTGAGAGGCAAGCCTGAGGCAAATGGCAAGGGCAGACCCGAGGGCTAATTTTCAAGGATGGTTCCCAGTGTAGTTATGGTACTGCACAGAGCAGATGACTCTGGGAGCATGACCCTGGGGTCTTCCAACTCAGGTGTATCTTCCCTACCCAACTGTTCAACAGACAGTGATCAATCCAATGGGGGTTGATTTATCCTGTCTAGTATAAATTGACCACTAATTGCTCTCATGTCTATTCCAGTACTCCAGTGGGTCTACCAGCATAGGTGAGCTGACAAGACAGTCAGCTGTCAACTTATCACAGTGAAGATACCATGGTGAGTAGATATAAATGTTGACTTCAGCTAGGTGCATAACTTAGATGGATGGCCTACGGTAGTGTAGAGTAGGCCTGAATGGAAGTAGGTGGATTACAGATGTGCTATAGTCTTAGAGCAAAGTAGACAATAAGTTAGTACAGGTTAGCTCCATACATCATTTATAGAGGTGCAGCTGTGCAGTGTAGTGTTTCTGGTGACGCTGCAAGCTGATGGGAGAGCACTTTCCAGTATACAATAGGCTGAGATAACACTATCTCAGTGTTTAGGTGGGTATAACTCACAGGAGATACTGGCATTGTAGCTCAGACATAGCTCAAAAGTGAGTATGAAAACAAGGGCTTTTATTCAAGCAGGCAGGCCTTGTTAATGGCAGAACTGAACATAATCTAACTGAAGCCATTTTGTGTCCAGCCACCATTAGTAGAAAACCAAATACTACATAGTTAGGAATAAATGACAGGATTTTGAGGGGCTAGGTCGAACAGCTGCATGTATACAATGCTGCTAATCAGAATGGGCAGATGGGATAGAGTTGAGAATGGAAGAAGTGTGACTGGCCACGGCTTGCTTCTGAGTGTCTGGCATACAAGTGTTATTGTTATGACTAGAAATGCATTGCTGATAAAGGATGAGCAATTTACTGAACCTAAGAGGATTGGTGGCCCATTGGGGTTACTATGGTGACAGACCCAGGAGTCACTGAGTTATGTGCTTTCAAAGGGGCCAGAGAAAGTGCAACTGCCTGCTCCAGGCAGGGCACACACAGGGTGCCCTGACATCTGATGAGACAGCCACTTAGAACTTGAGTGGCCAGGAGTGGCTGGAGCATGGTGCCAGGAAAGGAAGGGCCAAGTGCTCTGCACTGCTTCCTTTCAATATGAGAACCAAACTGGCCTATCGTCAGAAAGACTGCAAGCCACCCTCCACCACTAGCTAGGTTGCATGGCAAATTGGGAATGGCAGGGTGGGGAGAACTGTTCTGCAGAGGGGTCAATCAGAGCCAATGGAAGAAGGGGTAGGAAGATTGAATGCCTACCTGGTTGGCATCCTTGCTATCTGTGGCTGCCTCTGCCCCGCTGTCTCTCAAGAAGTAATTTTCCACGATATCCTTGAGGTAACACTGATGTTTACATACAGGGCAGTCCACAACTGCAAGGGAAGGGGAGAAGAAGAGAACATGTCACACACAGGAAGCAGCATCAGATTTGTAGCTAATATTTGGGGGCCAACCCCAGTGCAGTTAATCCTTCTCCTCAAGAGGCAGTAGTTACACTGGGAAGGGCTTTTCTCCTGTCAATGACACAACATCATCTACACTGGGAGTTTGGTTGGTATAATTGTCACTCACCACTGAAAATTCACCCGAGTGGCCTAGGTATTCTGACATTTGTACAGTAGATCAAGGCTAAGATACTGAAATGTATGGATCAGAACAAAGGTCCATCTAGCCCAGTATACTGTCTTCAACAGTGGCCAGTGCCAGGGTGCCTCAGAAGCAATGAGCAGAACAGGTAATCGGATGATCCATCCTCTCTTGCCCAGTACCAGCTTCTGGAACACAGAGGCTAGGGACACCATCCTGGCTAATAACCACACGACTCCATTAATTTATCTAAGGTTTTTTTTTAACCCTGTTAGTCCTGACCTTCACAATATCCTCTAACAGAGCTCTGCAGGTTGAAAGTATGTTATGTGAAGAAATGCTTCCTTTTGTTTTAAACTGCTGCTTATTTCATTTGGTGAACCCTAATACTTGTGTCTGAATGGCCACTGCAGGAATGAAAGAGATATGAGGGGTATTTCTGCATCATACACTGAAAAACTTCTACCCTATTATCATGCTAATAGGCTCTCATCCTTCCTTCCCACTAGTTAGGTTCCTCCAGTCTAAAAGTGTCATAATATTAAGGGTTCCTATATTCCAACAGCAGCAATAGGGGCTCTACACATCTTACAGTAGTACAATATGGAGATGGAGCCATTCCCCTCTGCCAAAAACAGTCTCCCAAATGTCGCATCAGAGGGCATAGCCTCTGTGCCTGAGCACAACGCAATGGATAAAGTACCAAAAAACTGCAGAATTTGCCCCCGGGGAGCAGAAAGACTGAGGAGTAGATATTAACATGGAAAGGTTGGAGTACTTGTGAGGAACTGAAGAGCAGATATTTTTGGTTCTGCCTGGGGTTTGAGATCATGGTGGAACATCAAAGTATCAAGGATTCAGTTCCAGTATTGAATTTGTAGCAGACAACCAGGCCCATCTTATTAAAGTCTAGCAGTGAACAGAAAGGTGACTACGTTACCAACCTGGGGAAAAGTCTTGCAGCTGTTACATTCTCACTGTTCTAAGCTGTGAGCCCAACCAATTTTGCTCATTTACAGTAAGGATGTGAATGGTTAACCAAGTTACTCGGTAAGCATCACCCTTACCGGCAGCTGGCAGCCCTAAGCGTGGAGTGTAGCAGAAACCATTGTGCCCCATCCTCCACTTGAGCTGCCAGCCACCTGCATGGGATCTGGTTTAACTGGTTAACTCATTAACCAGGAATTTACATCCCTAATTTACATTCCCCTGATTTACAGAGAATTAAATTCCACAGACCTTTATCCACCTTTTCTTATCTCTTCAAAAAGAATTCCAGTTATTAGTAGAACAGACATCTATTCAGGGCACACTACACATTTAGCATAGGGATGTTTAGGACTAGTCAACTATCTCCGCCTTGCTGCTTCCCCCCCGCCCCCCCTTGCTGCCTGTATGAGATGGAGGCAGCAAATGGGAGGGAGCGGGGTACAGGCAGTCCCAGACTTACGCGGATCCGACTTATGTCGGATCCGCACTTATGAACGGGGCTTTCTCGCCCC